GACTCGAGCAATTTTGGCGCGAGTAGTGCTGACGATCAGCGTTCATCATAGAGAATATACCTACAAAATTTCAACTGTCTAGCTCCTATAAAGTCTGCAGTTCAAGGGGAGTCGGGACTTATGACGAGTACTGTAGATTTGTCGACAACTCCAACATATTCAATGCATTTGGAAAACACTGAAATAATAGCCCTAATACATTAGCTAAGAAAAAAGGAAGAAAACTTAATGAAATCTGAAAATTAGTAGTTCTCCATACATAAGTCGCTGCTGACATGAAAATAATAATTACTTGTGATTATTGAAAAATTACTACTCTGAGAAAAAGATTCCAAACATATTTCATGTTGCTATAGCATAAACTATTTTGTTGATTGTTCTTTGAAAAGCTCATTTTGATGCAGAGTAGGACCTTCCAACACATCAAGAACCATTGAATAGAATAAAATACTATACAATACATAGTTTCTAAATAAATGTCATGTTGAAAATAGAAGATATATCCCCTATTAAGCTCCAAAAACAATGGCAATAATTTAATTTTTTTAAAATTTTATAAATTACGAAATGAAAAAAATTGAAATTTATTCTTAAATTAATGATAAAATGAGGTGCTTGCTCATTTTTGCTCTCATCGTGCATTACAGTTATTATGAATTTTGAAGCAAGACTATTACGAGGCTGATCCAGTAACGGAAAGAATTATTATAGACAGACGGAAGCGAGTTGCCCCTAAAGACTCAGATATCAGTTTACATTTTCATCATTGTATCAAATTCTGATAATTTAATCTTATCATTTTGACAGTAAGGTATACGTTATATTGACAGTCTGTTAGTCAAACAGTGCCACAATATTAATAGATTCTTTTTTATAACAACCAAGTTGAACTAGGCTCATGTGATCCAACATAAATTCGCTAAGACAGATCTTCTCTTGAAAGGATCTTAAAAGGTAGACGACATACCTGGTCACAGCACCCTGTGTACGTTTACCAGTATTCGTTATCTTGATTCTTGTTTGCTGGTAATTTTTCATTTTCAAACACTGTTCATGTCTATTATATCTGAGAAAAAATGTTAAGCTTTTGTGTTTGCTTATTTTAGTTTAAGTACTATCAGCCAAGCAGAATTAAGAAGCAACATGGTGATAGAAAGAAGAAACGAAGGACAACGAAAGAAGTTGATGATCAAAAGTCCAATACGATAATTGAACGTAATGATGAAGAGGTAAATGATCAGCAATATGTCCAGACATTAGGTTTTCAAGCCAAAAGTGATTCAATAAACAAGTCTGACAGCTTGAATGTAAATTCAAACGAGGAAAATACCATTCATGATTCAAATGCCATTATAGCAGAGGAAGACACCAATAAAATTACTGTTCAGACAGCAATAAGAAATAATCGACTGATTGCAGCTGGTGGTGTCACTGGCATCATGGAGGATCTCGATCCTGTGATAGGATACGCTGCAGAACCTTTGTTACCACTTCACGAAGCATGTGTTCCGTTGTCCAACATTCTCCACAACTTATCATTCTACGTAGAATTGGCGTTCAATGAAACACCACAAGAGCCACCCGATAGCTTGACTGTGGACGAGAGTGCTGCAATTCGTCTCTATACTATTGAATGGGAAAAACCTCATCGAAGTCTCTATTCAATGCTTAATTACACTCTCAAAACGGCTCCACGTGAAGAACTTCGACCTTATTTCAAGTATATGAAATTGTTCTTGACTGCTCTCGCCAAGTTACCCTGTGTTCCACCACTAACAGTGTGGCGAGGTGTAGCCAAAGATTTAAGTGCTGATTTTCCACCAGGCACTCTTGTGACATGGTGGGCATTTTCCTCGTGCACTTCTGCACTGCCTGTATTGGAAAATAATATGTACCTAGGTTCAGAAGGTGAGAGAACTCTTTTCTCGGTCGAAG